TCATAAATGAAAATATAAAATGTATTTATTTAAAATGATTAATCCACAGTGTGTAATAAAGAAAATATGTTCATTTTGATTAAATAAAAGGGTCTGCAAACACAGAAAGTTTTAAAAGAATATACTTACACTAGTGATTGTCGATCCACGATAAAAATCCATATGTGGTAAAATTTTGACTGAAATATAAATTAAGCAAAATTTATAAATACGGGCTTTTTTTGTAGTATCTGTAAATATCTACTTCCAATGGGATGATTTTGTTATTGATTTATGTTTTTAACACAATGGCAGTAGAAAATTAATAAATAAGTTAAAAAGAGAGATGGAAAAATAAAATGACAGAAAAGAGCAAGTTCCTTCTTGTATGAATTATACACATAAAAAGAAATACATTGCACTAATGGTACCCAAATATATTATACCCAAATAAATATATTACAGGACCTCTGTGCAAGGTCCCGATCATGTGATCACTGATTGGCCAATCAGTGATCACATGCAAAGTAGTAAGCAAGATGTCACTTGTAACATCATTGCTTACTACGTGTGAAATCTGTGAATGATCACAGAGGTCACATGGTACAAGGCTATTCACAACAGCCTTGTACTATGTGACAAGCTGTTACCAATCACAGCTCACTCAGTACTTCTCAATGAGTGCAAGAATGCAGACAGAGAGAATGAGAAATGATTGCTTTTACATCCTATATGGGTGTAAAAGCAATCAGTGTAAAAAAGAAAAAAAAAAAAATCTTCATCACCCCCCACAAGTAGTACAGTGTCACCATGGTGACACTGTACTGCTAGGGTGACAGTATGTAAAAAAAAAATAATAATAATATAAAAAAATAAAATAAAAATGTAAAAAAAAAATTTAAAAAATTATAATTTTTGGTTATAAACTAATTTGGATTTTTTTTTTTACTAAAGAGATAACGGAATCAATTCTGCCCAAGATTTATGATGAAATATTATTTATTTGCAAAATTTTATTAAAAAAAACACTTTTTTTTTTCAAAATTTTTGAACTTTTTCATTTACATAGCAAAAAAAATAAAAATCCCAGCGGTGAATAAATGCCACCAAAATAAAGCTTTATCTGTCTCAAAAAAATGTTGAAAAATTCATTTGGGTACAGTGTTGCATGACTGCGCAATTGTCATTCAAAGTGTGATAGCGCTGAAAGTTGAAAATTGCCCTGGACAGGAAGGGGGTAAAATTGCCCTGGACAGGAAGGGGGTAAAATTGCCCTGGACAGGAAGGGGGTAAAAGTGTCCGGACTGGAAGTGGTTAACCTCCTCGGTGGTATGATTATTTCAGATTTTTGGTGCTGAAAGCGGTACATTTTTTTGCATGGAAATATGAAAGTTTTTTTATTGTAGGCCTGTAATTTTTAGGAATAACTCACTGAAATCTGTCCGAACAAGAGTCTAGTAAACATCCCGGGGATGATAAAATTTGAAACACAAAAAATCATAAATTATAATTTAATAAATACTCATAAAAAATAATAATATAATAATAATACATTTAATTCAATAATATAATCAAACCAAAAACACTGAAATTTGAAATACAGAGGCAAATTCGCACATCGCTGAGCAAAGTCGCAAAATCGTTTTCAGTGTCTGATGAGGAATTTCCCCCACGAATCATTATCACTCAATCCTGCAAGTGGTTCTGATTTACTATCGCTGTTCTCTAGCCGGTCTAAAACCACTTTTGACCTAAAGGGAAGCTTTTTGGACGCCATGGACGTTTCTCAGTTTCCAGGCAGAAAGAACAGTAAAAATGCAGGCAGGGCGCCGGACAAAGCACTCGGGACAAAATGTATGTGAAATGCATTGAAACAGCAATGACAGCAAAAATTACATTTTTTAAAATTTCAAATTTCCCGCCGGTTCCGGCGCCCATACGTCCCGACGTCACAGGGACCAGAACACGGAAGCCGGATGCCGGCATCGGCCGGAGGAGATGGCCGGGGACGCTGCAGGGGACACATCGCGGGAGCGAAGGACAAGGTAAGTGCTGCAGGGACCCCCAGAGCAACGCTGCATGGTAAGCCCGAGTGTAGCTCGGGGTTACCGCTCTTGGTATAGAAATTTTACCCCGAGCTACACTCGGGAATACCGCTAAGGAGGTTAAATAAAAAAGTCTGCAAACACAGAACATTTTAAAAGGGTATTCATACACTATTTATTGTCGATCCACGATAAAAATCCATACGTGGTCAAATTTTGACTGCAATATAAATCATGCAAAATCAACAAATACGGGCTTTTTATTGTAGTATCTGTAAATATCTACTTCCAATGGGTTGATTTTGTTATTGATTTATGTTTTTAACACAAAGGCAGTAGAAAATGAAAAAATAAGTTAAAAAGAGAGATGGAAAAATAAAATGAAAGAAAAGAGCAATTTTCTTTTTGTATGAAGAATACACATAAAAAGAAATACATTGCACTAATGCTGGGGGTGTCAAACTGGCGGCCCTCCAGATGTTGCAAAACTACAAGTCCAATCATGCCTCTGCCTTTGGGAGTCATGCTTATAACTGTCAATCTTGCAATGCCTCATGGGACTTGTAGTTTGGCAACAGCTGAAGGGCTGCCAGTTTGACACCCGTGCACTAATGGTTCTGACATATATTCATTAGAATACAGAGATCATTTAAATGAGGCCAAATATGTGATTTTCTTTTATATGTGGAAAAAATAAAATGTATTTATTTAAAATTGAATAATCCACAATGTGTAATAAGGAAAATATTCTCAATTCAATTAAATAAAAAGGTCTGTAAACACTGAAAGTTTTAAAAGAGTATACTTACACTATTTATTGTCGATCTTCGATAAAAAAAACATACGTGGTCAAAGTTTAACTACAATATAAATTAAGCAAAATTGATAAATACAAGCTTTTTTTATTGTTGTATCTGCAAATATCTACTTCAAATGGGTTGATTTTGTCATTGATTTATGTTTTTAACACAAAGGCAGTAGAAAATGAATAAAATAAGTTAAAAAGAGAGATGGAAAACTAAAATGACAGAAAAGAACAATTTTCTTCTTGTATGTAGAATACGCAGAAATATATTGGACTAATGGTAATCAGAGGAAGTTCTGCAAATATTCTCTACCGGTTGAATTGAATCCTTTTGTATTCATATATATTTTCTGTGAAGGGCATTAAGAATTCTGTAGAGAATAGCCTAGTTCCCTCTGTGTTTAAGTTGGCAATTAAATAAATTATTTTTGTCAAAAGAAATACTTCAATCTATCCATCCCAAAACACCAAGCCTCTCGTTAAAAAGAATAAAACATTTTTTTTTAATTGTATTTTTAAAAATTTTCACTAGGGAAATTTCTGTGCATTGCAAAAAGGTAGTTCCCTCTCTTTCAGTTGGCAGGTGTTTGTTTCTTTCTCATATTGAAGAACAGCAAAGGAGAAAGGTATGGCTAAGGTTTCATGTGTTCTGGACGTATTTCAGTCTCTCCTCAACGTCTTTCCACCTGGCAGTGGCATTTTGGCAGAAAAAAAGTCTGACATTTGTAAAAATGTATAATGCTTTTAGCTTTATCAAGCATTTGGGTGTTAACCAGTTCCTCCCTTGCCAATAGAAAAATGACGGCCTGGAGGGACTCTCATCGGTCCAGGTTGGTGTCATCTGATGTCCGTCCCAGATCATGGCTTCAGGGCCTCAGGCCATCAGGGCCATGATGTGGCGGGATCTGACAACGGTTGTGTACCCCGGACACAGCCAATGACAGATCTGTGGCCCATTGCCAGTAACATGTGACCTGCTGTGACCAATCACAGCAGGTCACATGACATATGTAAACAGTGGCTTCCTTTCATGCCATCCATTGTATACAATTATGTCGCTAGCTTTGATTGGCCACAGTGATCACATACACAAAGTGGGCCCATTTGTGTCATGTGATTAGCTATGGCCAATCACAGCTATTTACAACAAAAAAAACCCTGAATGAATCAATTTCATTCAGCTAAAAGCTTGCTTATAGCAAAGGAATTCTTTACTATAAGCAAACATATTGTGTAAAAAAAAATAAACACCGATCACTTCCCCAAAGTAGTACAATGTTACTATGGTCACTTTATACTACTTTGGTCATAGTGTAATATGAAAAGAAAATCTTAAAAAAAGAAAAAAAAGTAATTAAAAATAAATAATTAAAAAATTTAAAAGAAATTATCTTTTTTTTTTTCCGTACTGTCACCAGTCAGTGTCCCTGATCACTGGTGACAGTATGTGACAAAAAAATTTGTGAAAATTATTTTTTTTTAATTTCTCTATTTTCCAAAAAGTTATGACAAAAAAATTACAACTTCAAAAAACTTGCCATGCCTCTTATGAAGTACGTCAGACTGTCTACTTTGCAAAAAGGGGTCATTTGGGGGATATCTGTACTGTCCTGACATTTGGGGGATATCTGTACTGTTCTGACATTTGGGGGATATCTGTACTGTCCTGACATTTGGGGGATATCTGTACTGTCCTGACATTTGGGGGATATCTGTACTGTTCTGACATTTGGGGGATATCTGTACTGTCCTGACATTTGGGGGGATATCTGTACTGTTCTGACATTTGGGGGATATCTGTACTGTTCTGACATTTGGGGGATATCTGTACTGTCCTGACATTTGGGGGATATCTGTACTGTCCTGACATTTGGGGGACATCTGTACTGTTCTGACATTTGGGGGATATCTGTACTGTTCTGACATTTGGGGGGATATCTGTACTGTCCTGACATTTGGGGGATATCCGTACTGTCCTGACATTTGGGGGATATCTGTACTGTTCTGACATTCTTGGACCTCAACAAATTAGATTGGCTGTCAGTACTTCAGGATTGATCAATTTTCAGATCTATACCATTGTTTGTGAACTCTATAACTTTCCTACAGACTAAATATTAAATACTAATTTGAGTTATTTGCACCAAAGAAATGTAGCAGAATCAGGGGGGCGGAGTGACAACTCATGGGGCCCCCAGGCAATAGGGGATCATGGGGCCCCTGTGTCCTTGCCCAAACTCAAAAAAGCCTATGAAAAAGGTACCAGGGGCATCTCATGGGGCCCCCTATGGACCCCGGGCCCTCAGGCAGTGCCCAAGTTTCCAAATGGTCAGTCTGCCCCTGAGCAGAATACATCTTGGCCTAAATTTATGAAGAACAATTATTTATTTGCAAACATTTATAACAGAAACAAAGAAAAAATGTTTTTTTTTTCAAACTTCTTGATCTTTTTTTTTTTTAATTTAGCAAAAAATATGCCCCCCAGTGGTGATTAAATACGACCATAAGAAAGCTCTAGTTGTGTGAACAAAATGATAAAAACTTAGTTTGGGTACAGCGTGGCATGACCGTGCAATTGTCATTCAAAGTGTGAGAGTGCTGAAAGCTGAAAATTGGCCTGGGTAGGAAAGAATTAAAATGCCCGGTATTGAAGTGGGTAATTCATTTCATTGGCCAGGCTAATAATTTATTCTGGACAATTAAATTAATTAATGCCTAAACACTAAATGCATGTTTAAGCACGTTTGCACATGTTTACACAGGTCAAGCATTTCTCTGACAAAACGCCACCTCTCCTGGACACACTGGCGGTGTTGTTTCTTCTGCCTCTAAACCCCTCTAAAAGCCTATGTGCTTCATGGACACATGAGCGCACACAAGGCGTTTAGAGGCAGAAAAAAAGCAGATGCCTTAGGAGTAGCTGATAAAACATCCAGTTTGACTGAGACCTAAAATGAACACCTCTGATAAGACCATACGTGACATGAGCTTGGAAATGTAGGTAGAAAGGAGCACCTGGTGTCCAGTAAATGCAAATCGAGAGGTGATTTTTAAACAATTTAATTGAGAGTAGGAACAAATATATCAAGTCAACCCGTTTCGGGAGAAGAAAGACTGGATACTGGGTGCTCCTTTCTACCTACCTTTCCAAGTACATATGCAGATACAACTTTAAGGCTGTTCCTATAGGTCAGGGGTCTACAAAATGTGGCCTGAGGGCCAGATGTGGCCCTTTGCTAGCCTTTATCAGGCCCTTGGAGCACTATTCCTCCCAAAGATAGGAAACAGTATTCCTCCCACTGACACCACTATTGATAACACTTATGTGGTACTATTCCTCCCATTAATACCAATGATGGGGCACTACTCTTCCTCCTAATGACCACCATCCCTGAGGCCATGTTTATTCTCACTGATCCTGGACCAAACATATTCTACCCCAACTGGCCATGGTCCGGCCCTCTTAAAGTCTGAAGGATCATAAACCGGCCCTTTGTTTGAAACGTTTAGAGAACCCTGCTATAGACAGTAGCCCAGGCCTCAAAAAGGGTCCACCACCACCACTAGCCACAGTCCAACCCTCTTAAAGTCTGAAGCATCATATAACGGCCCTTTGTTTGAAACGTTTGGAGAACCCCGCTATAGACAGCAGCCAAGGCCTCAAAAAGGGCCCACCACCACGCTGGCCACGGTCCGGCCCTCTTAAAGTCTGAAGAATCATAAACTGGCCCTTTGTTTGAAAAGTTTAGACACCCCTGCTATAGACAGCAGCCCAGGTCTCAAAAAGGGCCCACCGCCACCTTCCTTCAACTTGGACACAAATCATTGTTAGGGAATTCTTTCTACCAGCTCACGTTATCACACACCCACAACCAGTGACCGACAGACATGTGCGATTCATGTTGTTCCGAATCGAAATTCGGATGAAATTTTTTTTCAGATGTATTCAAATTTTCAAATTACAATAGTAACAAATTTAAATAAATCTGAAATAATGAAACAAAATTAGAATCAAATTTGAAAATTTGAACTGTAAACATATTGCTGACTGTTGCTGATTTCCTTCAAAGACTATTGCCCCTTTCAGATGGGGTGGACTCCATCAAGCAAATCCTCCTGCTCAGAGGGGGATATCCCAGCTGACAGGTTGATGACAGGTCTGAGCCACTCCTGAGCCGTGGCTTTGTGGGTCCATTCACACACAGAGCCACAGCTCAGCCCCGCACTTCCGTCTCCGGATCAACTAGCCAATGGCTCCAGATGCTGCCTCAGCCAATCAGGAGTGTGAGTCCCCAGAGAACCTAGGCTCTCGTGGACATCACTGGATCAAGAGGGTTCAGGTAAGTGTTGAGGGGGGGAGCTGCTACACACAGAAGGTTTTTACCTTCATACATAGAATGCATGAAGGTAAAAAACCTTAAACCTTTAGAACCACTTTTAGTATGTTAGATATTTAAATGTATGTATTTTGGTAACTGTGTGGAATTAATATTGGTAGTGACAGTATTCAGTGGATGCATTTCTTAATATTGATTTATTATGACTATGTTTACATAAGTTGGGACAAACCATATTAAACTGCTGTTGGAGGTCAGCCTTTGTTTGGATGTCTTAATCCTTTTTTTATAAGAAAAAAAATCTTGCTGTTGCTGTAACCAGTTCAGTTCCAGAGCAATTTTTTACTTATTTTTTGCACACAGATTAAAATCTTAATTTTTGGCAATAAAATTACTTAAAACCCGAGAACATTACATATTTTCTGAAAGTAGAGGCCCTATAGAATAAAATGACATGATATTTGTGCAACTGCTTATTAAATGCATATTTTCAGGAAAAAAATATAATAAAATTAATTTTTGTGCAAAAACCAGACAATATAATACCCATTTTTTGGGTAAAATATAAAGGACGACTTTGTGTTGAGTAAATATACACTCAAAATAATAATAGATACCAAACATGGCATGTAGTAAAATTGCATGCACCCAAGGGTGGACTGATAACTCATGGGGCCCCCTGGCAATCGGGGGTCAAGGGGCCCTTGTGTCCTTGCCCACATTCAAAGCACACCCAAAAAAGCCTATAAAAGGTACCAGGGGTATTTCATGGGGCCCCCTACTGACCCCGGGCCCTCGGGCAATACCCGAATGCTCAAATGGTCAGTCCACCCCTGCATGCACCCATGACAGCTCAAAAACTACAGTGCGCAAAACTCACCATAGGTGACACTTTAACCCTTTTGCTGCCAGGTCCATATGGTGTACAAACCTACAGCACTGCTTCCAGCTGCCCAGGTCCGTACGCTGTATGGACTGAAATTCCTCCTTCTGCTATAGGCTAATGGTCACTTCAGTGCCCCCCACCTCATTGATCACCAGGTTGCTTCTCCCTACCGCTACATGCTGACTTTTCCTGCTCCCCCTCCCGCCGGCTGCTGCCGCTGCTGGGGAGAGAGATCGCTGTCAGGATAGAGAGCAGGAGGGGGGATTGGTAAACATCCTGTGTATCCCCATGTGGGTAAACACAGTGCTCCATCGGTGTATGCTTTAGCACACCACATATTAGTAGCAATTTAGCTGGAATTTTGTAAGTTGTGTTTATATGTGCAAATAAGGATTTTAGTGGGGGGTTTTTTAGTGAAAATAGCAATTTGACAAAACATTTGCTCAACTATTGTGGGGGTCTAAAAAAAATCAAAAACACCTTCTTTTTATTCTACTAATTCTGTGGTTTCAGAAAATGTATAGTTTAAGGGTGTCTTTTAAAAATCAGTAGCAGTAGTTCTCTTTATTCTACTGGTCATGTGCTTTCAGAAAATGTATTGTTTTATAAGTTCTGAAAGCTATAAGGGAAAAATAAAAAGCAATGGAAAAATTGCAAAAATAGGCTACTTTAGTTTCAAAGTGGAGCACAGGGCCTGGCAATGGAAGGGTTAAGCACCTTTACAGCTCATCACTAAGCTCTCACTTTGACGTTCACGGCGATATGTCACACATGTGGTGCGACCGTGGTTTACCTACGCCTAGGAAACCCTGGGCTGCATTTACATTTGGTCATGTGTGTGGGGCAATAAAGGTTACGTTAATTAAAAAAAATTGTAATACATTTTATTATAATTTTTTTTTTTCCTTTTTAAATTTATTTCTTCTACTTGATTGCTGTCACAAGGGGTTAATAAACCCCAAAGTGATAGCATTAGGCGGGTGACAGGTACTCTAAATGGAGACATTAGGGGTCCAGTAGACCCCAATGTCTCCACTGCCATTCACACTATCTAGCCAAACACCTATTGGCTTGGTTAGATGTGTCCATTGGCCAGTAAATGGTGGATCTGAAACCGGAAGTGACAAAATCATCGTCTCTTCCGGTTTAATTATTTACCTGTAACAGTAGGGATTTGCCTCACTCTCACACTTCTCTCCTTCCCCTAGTCAGTCATTAATGGTCCTGGGTTCCCAGTAAGAGTGGGAGTGCCTGGTAACCATGGAGAAGGGGGGCCACCAGCGGGAGGAGGGGCACCGCGCTGCTGGCTCTGTGAAAGTGATCAGCAGCTACGAGGCTACTGCAACACTTCCACTTTTGAGCCAAAAGCCAGACAAACTGATGGCTGCCACTACAACCATGAGCTTGTGAAAAAAGGTTCACTTTTTGGACAAACGTAGTACATCCAAACATCTAAACTGGTGGAAATCTTGGCTTAAGCTGGCCATAGATGGATCGAATCTTGGCCAGTTCAGCAGAGGCAGAGACCCAGGAGAGCTACTGCTCTTGTGCACATCACTGGACAAGATCGGGCTCAGGTAAGTACTAGGGAGCTGAGGGGGGAGCTGCTGCACACAGAAGGTTTTTTTTTCCTTCATGCATAGAATTCATGAAGGTAAAAAAACCTTCAGCCTTTACAACCACTTTAAATCTATGAAGCTATAACAGAGAAACATACTTATATTGCTCCTCAGTCCCTCTGCAGTTGGAACTCTTCTCAATTCTGCTCTGTTCCTGCAAGAAGAGGGGCCCTTAACTATTAGCCGCCCGGCCAATGGCCGTTTGGCGGCTTCAAATGCGCTCCTGTATTCCGGGTGCACGCCATTTGGTGTGCTCCCTCACATGCGCAGTTTGCGGCACAGCAGAGCGGCGCAGCAGTGCGATCTGTCACCGGCCGTGCACCTCGGACACGGCCGATGACAGATCCGAGTACCGGCTCCCGTAGCTGGTACCATGTGACCTGCTGTGACCAATCACAGCAGGTCA